AATAAATACTAAACCAGACTAACTGTTCAAAATTCTCATTGCACTTTTTAATGGGAATCTTAAATATAATTCAAATTTATTTCTGTATTTTGATAAAAAATAGATTATTCTATGCAAAAAGTTTTAAGATTAGAGAGAGTTAATTCGACAATAATTGTCTTATATACATGAGACTAAAAGGGTCGGATAACGTTATTGTCGTCATCAGTATTAGGATGTCTCTTTTTTTAGGGTGCGTTCCAGTGAAGCGGATTCGGTGGTGGAGGTGGTGGTGGTAGTAACGGCAGCAGTCCATTAAATGCTGTATCTCTTAATCAAAACTCCTCTTGTTCCTTGGGTTCAGTGACAATGAGTTATAGTCTAAATGGCGATGACTTGAATATTAAACGAAACAGGAGAATATTTGATAATAACCAAGAAAAATAATAATGTTCGTAATAATATTGTCGTTAAGTTTTGTTTACACCACAAAATTTTAAATTATTATTATATCTTTTTTTTTGACGTTCTAATTATTAAAAGGGTGTAAATTAATCAACAAAATATAACGTATATATTTTTTCAAACTATATTGTAATTTTATTGTCTTTTGTTTTTTGTTTTTTTCCCCATAAAATCTAGACATTTCGTAAACAATAAAATGTATGAATAATAATTGAACACTTGTATTTATTTATTTATAATTAATTGACTGCATTAAATATACTTGTATTTATTTTGCATTAGTAGTACAGATTTTACAAAAAAATAACTAGATCTTATTTTTGATTTTTATTTTTCTTTACTCGAAATCGTATCAGCGGTATAAAATTTAAAAGATATAGAAGAAGAAGTTATCTGATTATTTTCAGTTAAATTACTTCTATAAAGAACTTTTAAACGAAAAAACTAAAAGCGCCTATTAACGATGAGACAAAGGTAAGGGTAAAACGTGAAAAGGGTTCCTTTTATTTTTCGACAAGACCAAGTGTATCTCACAGATTAAACCGATAAGGTAAGGATATAAACAACGGTCCAACTGAATCTTCAGCAAACGTTTACTTACTTGAAACAGGGAAAATAAATGACAATAAACAATCAAATCGGGAGTCCTCCCGAGAGAAATTATCGTGCAAGAGGTGATGGTCTAATACATGGGATTTGCGTACAACAGCGATTTATTTTATTTATATTTTTTTGTTTACTCCCCAATTCTTCTGCCACTACACTTACTAAGATTAACCTTGTAATGTATAGAACGAAGAGTCGTTCATTGAATACTATAATCTCTGTTGATTTCCTCTCTGAAGATTAAACGACGAATAAAGATTTATTGAGTAGCAATTTCTTATAAACATATGGTTTTGTACTTAAATATAATAGACAATATAAGACAATAGCTTTTTGATTAAAACTTTGTTAGATAAGTACGAAATAATTCAAGTTCATAATTACTAATCACAGTATAATTTATTGAAACTATACATCAATAAAAAATTACAGATAACAATATTTTTATTGTTAAATTAATTATACTTTAGTCACTAGAACAAAATATTTCATTACCTTATAATTTGTTGCTTTCATAACAAAAATTGTTGTTTAATAAATAAAAAATTATTGTCGGCTGTATATAAGCAATAAACTTGTGTCATTTGACTATGATTTTTTTCAATGTACATAAATTAATTTTATTGTATCTTAAAAAAAATATTTAAAAACATCTGATTTTCATATTATATTTTGTTTAGAATAACAATACTTCATTATTTTTGTGCAATAATAATTTAATAAGACTAAAAAATGTTCATTGTTTTTTTAAGACTAATAAATACATTAAGGATTAAGTAATAACTTAAGTACATTTCATGTACTGCACTTTAATTATTGTAATAATTCTTCTGTAAATAAAAATTATAATTAGTATTATAAACCACAAAAAAGAATTCTTTGAGTTGTATATATGAAAATATAAAAAGATTAGATACATAATATGAAGAATGAAAGAAAAATAGAAACCTGTTTTGTATTCAATGAATACTCTATATAAATGAACATTGTTCATTGAACAAGTTACTGAAATTTATTTCCATAAATCAATTACACATATAAACTCAAAGCCCTGTCTAATAGAAGTTGAAAATATTGTGAAAAGGATCTAAACATTTTTCATAACTAAAAACCAAAGTAGAAAGATTTTTTATTAAAACTTTTATATATTTTAAGGAACTATAAAGTTAATTAGAAAAAAAATTAATACATTCATGGAATAACTCATTGAACTTAAACAAATATAACAGTATTTGAAATGAACAGCTAACGGTGCCACGTGGCAAAAACTTTTGAAATAGAAATCAAAAGGGAATTTACCTTTTGTACGCGTTATCTCGAATTTCTAGATGAGTAAACACCCTACATTCGATATTAAAAGTCTCCTATCGCCTGATATTTATACCTATACACACCTTTTTTTTATAATGTTTATACCAGCAAACAATTTTCACCTGTACATATACTTATCTGTTGTATATTAATAAATGAGTTTCACAAAACAAACGAGTTTACTTTATTCGTATGTTGTTAATGCTTTCAAAATGTTATGTTTTTATTTAAAAACAAAGTTTTTAAAATAATAAACAATTTTAATATATCCATTTAGAATAAATAAAAAAACATTATTGTGTAATATATTGATATTCACTTTTTCGTCTAAGAAACCAGTATCAGCTATTTAAGTTGTTAGTAAGTTGCATCTAGCAAATAACTCATCCTTTAAATTTTATTCCCCGTTGACGTGTGTCGAATGACATAAAAGTTATGAATGACACTAATGGTGCGGATATGAAAAGTTTGTGTCATCAAGACACTAATGGACGTCAGCTAAAAGCATCCAGCAAAGCAATAAACGTAATTGTAAAGGGTTTTTTTTTCATATTAATGACACAATGAGTTTGGGGAAAGAATAATGTTATTTCGTGTGCGTATAGTCACGAACTCATAGTTACAAAACTGTTTATACAACATTGTTTGATGTAAGCTACAAACTACTAGATATTATCATATTAAATGAAAAAAATACTCATTATCTTATCTATTAAATATTTCCGATTTCAAATTACTAAATCCGACCTATGCTGGTACTCAAACTGTTACACGAGATGACGCAGTTCAAACAACGATAAAATTAAAATTGTAAAATTTAATGTCTTTGTAGTTAATTAATATCCTCGTATCAAATAATAGAAACAAATATTAGCAACTTAACGATTTTTTTTGGATTCTATGGGATTAACATTACATTAGGCTAAAAATAATTTGAATGGTAATATAATTATTTTTAATTATGAACTATATTATTCCACGGTTTTGGTATTTGGATTGCAAACAGTTCAGTTGATAATATTTTGTAATAAGTCTGTCTAAATCTGCATTGATTTATAGAGTTACTCTTAAGTTAAAGCTAAACGAAACCGTGTGACGGTGTTGATAACAAGCAACGAAAGCCTACTACACACTACAGTCGTAACACAATCCGAGTTTTATTGCAATAAGCCCCGAGGGGTGACTGACTGTATTTTACAGATAATGCAATTTTTCTTAAACGCTGTTTCACGGTAGATTTTAGTGTTATTGTGTATAAAAGGACAGCAATAAAGTAATTCCTTAACTTTTAAAATTCATAAATAACCAATAATTTCACTAAAACTTAATTTTAATCTTTTAAAATTTGATTTTTGAATTGCACTATTCTAATTTTCTCTTAAATAGATAAATTAATTGTGTTAAATACAATTTAAAACGTTAAAATATCAAGTATCAACACAATTTTATATTAAAAACTTATTATAATTCCTTAAAGATAATCCAACATACAAAAGTCAATGATTTATTATTGTGTATTCTAAATATATCTAAAGATCCTTGTAATAGTAATAGTACATAATAGTAATGTTATGAATTTTAACTTCGATGCGAATCGGAGAAGGTATAAATTTTACTATGATGTGTTTTTTTTTTTATCTGTTACCACTTTTTCTCAGCTCTGACCCAACTGATTTTTTTTTTCAACGATATGTCAGAGATTACATATCATATTTAGTCGAAGACATTACTCTCAAAAATTGAAAAAATTTCCCTTGTTCCTCATAAATAAGAGAAATCTCCAAAAAAATTACAAATTTAAAAATCGCTGATTTTCAAAATTTTTACAATTTTTTTTTACTTAAAACTAACTGCATATAAGTAAAAAAAAAATTTTTTTATTTAATATTGCATCAAACCTTTTAATTTTTATACATATTTGTTATAAAAGTGACACAATATACTACTTTATAATTTTTATTATTTCTCCGTAAAAATTACAATATTAATTTCATACTATATTTATTTGCTATAATAAATATTTGTTCATAATTATACTTTTAAATCTAAGAACTACTAATCAGAATATAATTAAGGAAATAGGAGTTAAAGTTGCTTTTTTAATTATGCATCATTTTTTTAGAATTAAACTAAGATTTGCATCGAAGCGTTTCATATGACAGTGATTTTAATCATTGTCAGATATCATCAATAGTTATTCTAACTGCCCCACGTCCATACTGTGCCACAACCCCACTGTGCTACCGTTTTTTTATATTATGGTTGCAATAAAAATGCAATACTTAATGTACTCATTATTTATTGTAACATGTAAAAAAAAATAGCAAAAATGTTATAGCTGAATACCTAACTATACTTTTCATCGAAGGAATTTTAGTTAAATATAATTTGAACATATAATTAACAAATGGTGTTATATCAAAATATCGCAATGAATTTTCCATAAGTAATTTTAGTCTAATCTAATAGATTAGAGAAAAATATTTAAATTGTGATGTATTTTAATAATTTCATTTTTATAAACATTACTAATAAAAATTGAAATTTATTTCTGTTGTGTATGTGATACAAAATCTAAATTATGTGCATGAAAATTAGCGAAAATATTGATATAGATATAGATATAATATATTACTTACTCTTTAAATATTTGAAGAACTTTATTCTTGATCATACAAGCCCACTCTGGCAACGTCGGTGCCATGGCGATGTTCTCTGGGCTATTGAGTGTATTTTGTTATCCATACTGAAAATTCATAAAAATCCATACTTAAATTCACTATTTTAACAATATAATTGTTAGGTATTTAAGAACTTAATGTTCAATATTACACACATTTAAAAATAATTTTTTCTCGAAAGAACATTTTTAAATAATTTATATAAATTACTTAATAAATAATAATCTAAACTAAACAACTAATTACTATTTCTAAGCAAAATCAAACTAAATTTAAGCTCAAATTGTTAATAATAATTTATTATAAAAACCTAATATTCCATTTAGTTAATTATTTAAATAGAAATTTGTTCTAAATTTTTCCAAGAAAATATAATTTGATTTTGTTATAATATTAAAAATTGCTTATACATTATTTCAATATAATCTCAATACATTCTCTATTATAAAATAAATAATTACATCATTAATTATTTTTAAAAAATTTTATATTTTTTAATTGACAAAAATGTTTATCTGCAATAAATAAATTATACACACTGTTGTCTTTATGATTCAATATTTTTCCAAAAGATATTTCACTAAACTTTTTTTGGAATATAGCTAATTATTTTTCAAATAAAGTTTGATTTTTTTTTTATTATTTAGAAACTTTTTTATTGAAGAAAAAACGCCTAAATCTATTAAAATCTGATATTTATTAAATATAAATAATAAAAAAATCAAACCCTTATCTAACTTCGTACATACCGCAAAGTTTTTGTTTCAAAATGCAGAGAAGTCAAAGTATAAAAACACATCTCCACGGTATAATAATAGTGAAAATGGTTATATAATATATTACTAAAATATTGACATAATGCTATTAGAGACATGGACATTACCTTTAAAAAATTGTAAGCATTAAAATAAATATATTTTAGTAAGGCTCCTCTCCCCCCAAAAGGTAAACCTTTATTCATATTTTTCATTATAAAAATAATCACAAAAACTTTCAAATGTTTATTTACAAAATGAAAAAAAGTTATTTTCATGTAATTTAGATAAAGACTGAGGGTGCTGATTTAGAGCTGGAGGAAGGTGCTGTGGCAACTACAGTGCAGTTGCTAGTTTTTAACAACATTTTTAACGCATAAATTTCTTCTATCGGGCTAAATTTTACCAGCTATGCTATAATATTACTTAAAAATTTCAGTTTTAAATTATTATGATATACTTTTAAGATGATTTAATTAATTATTTTATGTTAAATTCCAAAAAACAAAACTTGAAAAAATTAATTATTATTGAATATAACAAATGAACCTTGTATTTGGAAAAGACTATGTGAAGCATCTAAAGCTGATGAGATCCAAGTGACATTTTTGAAAAAAAGTTATAAAATGTTAAAAAATAAAATAACTACCAATTTTTATTAAATTAAATATAGCAATGGATTTTTTAAAATAAAGTAATATTCTTCTTCAGTTTTCTAAACCAAATGAGTTGAAAAGATAACATTAATTTAATTATCTCGACGTCAATATTTTGTCATTTTTACCCTTTTAGCTTAGTATATAGTAAAACATATAAAGATAAATTTTATAGAAATCAAATTATGATACAACTAGTCTTCATTTTTGTCAAAATATAGGAATTAAACATTGTAACAGCATCAAATATTCCATACACTTTTAATCAGCATAATTGTTCTAAAAATACCATGTGGTTTTATTGTCATTTTTTGAGATATAATTAAAAGAAACCTTAAACAGTTCCACGAAACATAAACTTTGAAATTACATTAAAAATTATTATTTAAACTAACATTATTTAATTATGTTTACTATGAAAAATGATCCAAAAATTTCTATATGTCGGTATAGTAATTTTAATATACACATAACTTTTACATACAAGTAGTGTAAATTTTACATAATGTATTGAAAATTTATACACAAATATAACATTTTCTATAATACTATTTATCTATAAAATTCACTATTAATTATCCCTTACATTGTATGCGTTAAAAAATTCAGTACACATTTATAAAATTTCGAAAATTTTTTTAAAATCATTTATTATAATTTGCAATTAAAGATCCTAAAAAAATTTAAAAAATCAAAATAATCTTCAAATTAAAAACATTCTACTTTTTACTACATTTAATAAACAAAAAACTTGTTGATCAATTATTATTATTTAACTTAAATTAAATAGGATTTTAAATTTTCTTTATAAATGATAGGTAAATTAAACGTAACTTTAATAAAAAATGACAACATAAATAGATAATGATGCGGTATGATCATGTTCACGAAACAATCTATTTATAATTATTTAATTGCATAAATTAAAAATATTCATTCTAATGTCACTCTTTGGAGAAATTTTTCTTACATAATTCGTGTGTAGTTGCTGTGCGAACATTAAGACCATGTTAACCGTGTTTGCTTCGATGATGGAAATATTATACGACTAACACACACGATATTAAATTATCGACGTTGTGTCAATTAAAAATAAATTGTCAATCAAAAAAAATTTGAAAATCCTCACAACATGCAAAATCTACAATGGCTACTGTTTAAATGCGTTTCAGTGTACGTACCATTCTCTGGCGAGCGCGTATCCGTTCGGTTGGTAAAACGGCGAACAACCGGGCGGTCGCGGAAAATCCCCGGGAAAGCCAAGTTGTCAGGTCGGGCGGGCAAGCGACAGGGCGCCGGCGCCCACATATTTTTCTAGTGCTTACGGTTGGCCCGGTTGCCACTGTATCGGCCAATCCAAGAGCATCTCGCCCACCACGAAGGGCCACCAAGCTTCACCTGGCAGGTGCGCACCGAAAAATGGCTCTGCGCTCAGACTTGTGTGGGCGGCGTGGGTGGTAAAAACACTACTCGTGCGGAAAAACATCTATATCATAGTGATACATTTATGTTATATAATACAGCTTTTTATTTTAGTTTACATTTTTTCTTTTATTTTAACGAAAATAATGTCACGGTAAACTATATTATTGAGATTCGTATTATAAATGTCTCGATGGAAATATATTTAATAATTTCGGTACAGACGACATAATTAAGAATTTAGTTAGTCTGTTGCACTTTAAATTCACTCGTGCGGCAGATAGAATGATATACACATGCAAATACATTCAGTGACACGCAAATAAACTATCGGGACAGTGTATAATCAGATAAAGGATAATTAACAATAGATAAATAGTTGATATAGAAAACTTAATGATGTGAGATCTATAAATTTAGCCAAAAATAAGTGAGATGTAATGCAGTTATGGTTTTAATTTATTGGTCGTACCTGGACGTTTTTTTAATGAGATCAAATCATTACACATACGATTTTATACTATCACTTATACGAGAAAGTATCAAAAACATTAACATTAGTTACGTGTATACAAAAAAAGATTTGCAAAGTACTGATACAATTTTAAAACGTTTTGGAAGAAATAAGATTCGGAATAATACTAATAATCTATGAAAGCTTTAACAATCATTATCAGTCATTTTTTCTCTATTTTATTTTCCTAAAAATTAATTTCAAAATAATAATTCATGCACCTTATACGGAATATATTAATTTAATGTAACGTTTTCACTTCCAAAAAAATTGTTTGCTAAAACTCAACTACAATCTAATATTATATATCAACTACTCTAAGTTAAAATTTCTAACTGATGTTTGACGAACGCAAAAATTAATATCTCTTAGAATATTTAATTTGGAAAAATTCATTATTTAAATACAACAAAAGTTGAAAACTTTCCTACACAAATATATATTTATTGTTAGGAAGAAAGAAGTCTATTAATTTTAAAATATAATAATATATGAATAATTATTTATTAGTTTTATAATATTTTAATGTTTTAAAATATACAATACACAAAGTAACAATAGGTTATTGTGTTTGGATGCTTTAAACATACAGTATATAATAACTAATAAACGACACTTATTAAGTTTGTTTATTTTTTCAAAGTTATATAAGTATAATAAACTCTTACCACTTATATATGTTTTATATTTTAAAAATTAATATTTTTTTACAAAATTCCAAAAGTTATTTATGCAACTAAATTATGTTAAGGGGAAATTAGAAGGAATTTTAACTTTTGTGTACACTTATTATTAATAAATGAATGTTTGCTATATTTATTAATTTACCTTATTAGAAATAATTTCAAATAAATTATTTTGGATAAGAGATAAAAAGTTTAAAATTTGACAGCGATTTAAATTAAACTTAAACTAAAGCCTCTAAATGTTGTATTATAAAAAAAACTGAAGATATATTCATACATTACTTTATCAAAGGCTTAAAATCGAATCATTAAATCTTTAATAATTTATAAAAAAAGTTGAATATTTTTATTCTAGGGCGATGATTTTACTGTTAACATTTTAAACAGAAAACTTTGATATCAATTTATTTTTTTTTTTCGAAGCAATTCAGTCTAAGTTCATATATCATAATCTGAAAATTAGATAACTAATTTTGATCATTTTGATTTGTTAACTTAGTAGTTGATATTTAAATAAAAATTTAATTTACCAAGACTCTAAATACATTGTAAAAAAGAGGTCATGAAAAAGTTGCAACTCGGAAGGTGGTAGGGGAGTCATTTAAACATGTTTGGGGTAATGCGGGGACTGCAAAAAACCCTCTGGGTGTCTACCCTAGAAATCAATACACCAAAGTATCGTTATTCTCGTAAATAGGAGAGGACTTGACGAGTTTTCTTGTTTAAAATGCCCAGTTTATACCATTTTAAATTGACTGACAATTAAACGGTGTTCACCTGTAGCCTTTATATATAAACTTAGTAGTATCTACTTTAAAATTATTTTAGTATACTTCCCACGCTCAAATTTATTTTAGTATTAATTTAAAATGGCAATTATAATTCATTCATAATATGTATATATTATATAACTTTACAATCAGAATTACATAAATAAATTCGAAAAATATAGAAAAGTTCCAAAAGAAATATGACTTTCCAAAACATTTGATCAAACCCCTATTAAAATATAGAAATCAAAATAATATGATTACAACAAACATTAACATAAAACAATTTATTTATTTATTTCGATTGTAAGTTATAATTAAAAAGCAATGAAATATTTCTAGAATATTCCTAAAATAATTCTTTTTGATATAAAAATATATTTAGAATATAACCAAAATATTTTAAAGTATTCTTCAAATAATTTTAGAACATACTTTGGTAGCAAATATTGAATTCTCACAATATATTAAAGTTATATTTCTAAAATGTTATTAAAAAAAATTGTTGACAATATTTTGCATATTATGTCTTCTGAAAATAAATATATTGTATATTTTTCGATACTTATAAATAATAATTATTTATAATAATGTCTAAGTCTTATATGAAACAATTTAATATGTTGCTATCTAATTTCAATTTTTAGATTAATGAAAAAAATTCAAAATTTGTGTACATTTTTAATTATAAAAACAATTGGTATCAATATAGAATATTTCATAAATAATTTATTTTTTAAAAACTTTCAAAAATTACATTCCATATGATCCACTGAAAAAATTGTTAATATTAAAAACAGTTAAAATAACTAAATAAATAGTTGGGTTAAACTTATTAATTTATTCCAATTGTCTTAATTGCAGATATCATTATATTAACCGTTTATATGGTTATTCTAACCATATTTTTTTTTTTTTTGTGTGTAAGGTTGAACTGATTGTTAAGTTTAAATCATTTCAGATCAAGTAGAATTAATTAGCTAGTTGTCCTAACGTTTTATATTATACACATATAAACCTTTTAATAGACGTCATGATTAAATACTAAAAAACATAGACTCGACGTAATTATTATTCGTTTACTCTCTTATATCACCCGTGGAAACAGAGACATGAGTTGCTAAAGAAAGGGGTTAAGTAGTATGTATAGAAAAAGGATAAAGATTTTATATGCGTCATTCATGTAAATTAAGTGTACTCCTTCGCTTAACGCTGTATCAGCATATAAAATGGAAATATAGGGAGTCGATTAAAAAATAATTGCACGTGCTGCAGATAATGCGCTGTCCCTTCCACGAAAGATGAACCTGTATAGATATAAAGTATCTGCAAATCGCAGTAATTTTATTAAAGCATTGTTCAATTTTGTTAGGATGCCATTCAGTAAATTAGTTTATAATTTAAAATAATAACTATAATTACCAAAGCTCATAAGTAAATGCAGTATTTCATTTTGATTAATAAAGAATCTCGAATAGGAGCAAAACTTATAATCAAGTAACAAAATTACTCAAAAAAAAAAAAGAAAATTTTATATCTCTAAAGAATAAATATTAAATTCAAGACTATTATTTTTAATGAGACGCTGACAATTTTATTCCGTTTTAAAGTACAAATACACTAGAAGTGGTAATGATCATTATTGGTAAAAATATGTCCTTAAAAATTCATATAAGTGATAAAGCCTCTTTATATTACTTTTTATTTCATTAATATATATTATTAAAATACCCTAAATATTTTTATTTGAAATATCTTCAGCTTAAAGTATGCTTTCTAAAATTAATGATATAGATGTTGAACAAATGTACTATTAATATTAAGTAAAAATAACTTTAAAAGTATCACATAAAAAATACAAGTTTTACCTCATTGTTTATGGCATTATTTAATAAGTTATTCTATGTCTAAATGGATACTTAGTAAAGAAATAATTCACACACTGTGTCCTGTTTTCAGACGATCCAAAAAAAAAAAATCATATTTAAGAACATCATTAACTTTATACAAGATATCATTATATGCATAGACTTATAAATCGTATTTTTATGTCTAAGATTATACTATTATCATGGGATCTTTTTGTTATTTTATAATAGTTACAATAATACTATATGCTTGTTACAAATTCTGATTCTTTGTTATCATAATCTAGTAAAATTTACATAAAAGATTCATAATTTGATTGCGGATAATTTAGTATCAATAAACGTCAATTGATATATTACCATTGATAATAACAAATTCTACAACCATGGTATCNAATTCATAATTTGATCACAGACTATATGAAAACAGATAGTTCACTTAGCCGAGAACAATAGAAAAAAAAATCAAGCTCTCTGATTGGGCAGAAGACAAAGCAGTAGAGACTGTTGTACAATTTCATATTATTGTGCAAATATTTTACAATAATATTGTACAATTCCTCTATCAGTTACAAAAATTATCAATGATATTGGAATTAATGACACTATTGCATTTTAAATACTTGAACGATAATAACGATTATAACTGTTCGCATACTTATTTTGTTTAAATAACATTTAGTCTTAATAAAAATGTTTTTTTTTTTAATATTGTCTGACATTATGAATATTGTGTTTAATTTGTATAAAAGTTGACATTTTGTGTAGTTTATTATTTCATAAATTTTTTGTCAACGTTTAGTTAGTTTTACCTATAATATATGAAGCTGTAATTTTTGGTTAAACTGTTAATAGTATTATATTTTTTATAAAATTTGAATTATTTTAGATATAATGAATAATAATATAAATTATATAATAAATTTTATATTTTTATTATTATTATTATTGTTAGCCATTTTTGGCCAAATTGTAGCCATTTTCACCGTGAAGACAAAATAAAGTCCGAAATTTTTTTTACCCAAAATAAAGTATATTACATTAGCTTTAATTTAATATATATATAAAAGCGTCAGTATTTCCGGAACACTTTCAAAAGTTAAGTTGAAAAAGTTATAGCATTATAAAGTTAAATATAATATAAAAAATAAAATCGAGAATTTTCACACGAAAATAGTATTCGATAGCCATTTTCTCCGTGAAGACAAGTCCAGAGGTCAAATTTTTTTTTTCATAATAAAGGACATTACATTAGCTTTAATTTAATATATATATAAAAGCGTCAGTATTTCCGGAACACTTTCAAAAGTTAAGTTGAAAAAGTTAATTTTTTGTGAAAAAGTTGTCATTTTGAATTCCCCACTGTGGGCTGATAAAGGGTTAAATTTATAAAAAAAATATACCAAATAATAGGTAAAGACATCAAATATCTATATAAAATTTTCATTTTTGAAAAAGTTATGGTAGTGTTAAGAAAAAAATGTCAAAAATTACTGATTTTTAAAATTGTAATTATTTTGGAGATATCTCCCACTTATGAGGAATGAAGGAAAATTCTTCAATTTTTGAGGATAATGTCTTCGACTAGATACGATTTGTGATCTTTTGACGTATCATTGAAAGAAATCGGTTCGGTGAGAGCTGAAAAAAACAAGGTAACAGACACACAAAAAATAAATAAATTAAAGAAACACACATCATAGTAAAATTAATACCTTCTCAGCTTTGCATTGAAGATAAAAAATACTGACCACTAAATATTGTAGGTACTGCATCATGACCAGCCGATTTTTTGTAGTCTTTTTCAAAAACATTTTATCGTCAAAATGATCCGCGCAAACTACTAGATTATTTTTTTTTGGATAAAGTCTCTGCCAAATGATTAGTTTGACAATTATTCATCCATAGTTTCAAACGATCATTTTCTTTAGGATAAGAAAAAAAGCTTTTATCCTTGAAGGAATATGTACTTGGACAAAACTTTACTGAGCATCGCATACTGGTGAGGTAGTGAGATATTTTGAAAGAAAGCACCAAATATAACACGAAATAAGATACATGTGATCATTGACAACATTAACAATAATAATTGTTACTGCTCAAGTCAAGTCAAATTTAAGTAGTTAATAATTTACATTATAAAAACTGATAATTATTTAATTTTCATGACTAATTTAGGGATTTTGAGTCATAAATAAGGGATTATGGGTTTAATACCTTAATTTAATGATGTATTCAAATAATTTATGTCAATAATTATGTTTATATACGGAATTTCATAATATTTATGCTACAGCAGATTTAATAATGAAATAAATTAAAAGAATTTTTGCGCTCATACATATGGTTGCACTGATTTCACTTCTCCAATCAAAAAACCGTTTTGTTATCGGGCCAAGTGAACTATCTGTTTTCATATAGTCTGTGATTTGATTGCGGATAATTTAGTATCAATAAACGTCAATTGATATATTACCATTGATAATAACAAATTCTACAACCATGGTATCCATCTATGGATGTCAGTAGTAGTCACCAATACATCATTCACCAGTCTGCACTCGCAGCTGTCACAATTATAAGTGCTATTTGGATTTGTATAAAAATCAGTATAGGTTACTATTTTAATTCTTAGAATTTAGATAACATTTTTAAAGTATTACAAATACTTAAAAAACCAAAATTATTTTTATTGCGTAATATTTTGCGGTTTTTTATATACTGTTAAGTTAAGCAGTTTATATTTATTAATGTACATCAATATACACATTGTACTATAGAGGTTGCAATTTAATGTTTAATAATATCAATAAAAAAAGTATCTATAGTCAGTAAAAAATAGACACCTAGTGAATATTCACAAAAAATACCCTGACTTTGTGACAGAAATGTATTTTATATGAGCTCATAAGGAATATTGAAACAGTAACAGTGAAAAATTACAGAAAATTTAATATATTTAAATACAAATATAATTCGCAATCTCAAAAAACATTTGAAGTTTTACATACAAAACTAAAATTGAAACAAACGTATTGAAGTGTTTTTGCACGAACATTTACATGAAAAACGATAACAATGTTTTTTAACCCCCTTTTTAGTGGTTAATCAATTATTCCCAACAAGAGAGTCTAAACATAGAAGATAAGATTCCTGTAACAATAATAACCACGTTTTCTAAACTAGTAATTTAGTTTTTGATTATTGTATCATCATTTGAATATTAGTTTTCGTTAGTCTAAAAAATCTCGATTGTGAATACCCAGTACTATCTTATTCAATTTCTCAATAATTGGTTTTACCATAAAAATATCTGCTACCATTTTTGAACTTTTTCCGATTAAATCCATTCAAATTATGCTATAACAATGACTACAATAATATTTGCGTATAAACTAATTCTCCTGATTTTATTTTCCATCATAACAACACCCCATTTCAAAATATTTTTTTCGAATTTTTTTTTGTTATGTAAATACCAATGAAATAATAACATTAATTGCATTGTTAATTTTAAAAAGATAAGTTATTTTATATGTAAACTTCTTAATTTTGGAAAAAAATAATTATTCCATTAGAAAAATGTATTTTCTAGAAAATATAAAGATGTATAAATATTATTAAGGATAATAAATTATATTATAAAATATAATTAATCTGTATCACAATTCAATAATGATAATATTCAAATATCCCTTAGAATAACTAGCTCTTTATAAAAATTAACCTTGCTATTATTTCTAGCAACAGCGTAACGCCACCTTTATAGAAAACAAAATTACAATATTACAGACGAATCTAAAAAATATATCAAATCGAATAATAAACTGCGATCACTTTTTTTTTACTTTTTTCTAGTTTAATCTAATCAATAACTCATTAGTCATAATAATATGTAAAAGGACATTACAATTATGTAGATATAATCAAATAATAATTGATAATTAGAAAGTACAAATTGACATTGTTAAAGTAACGATAAATAAAAATATCAAATTGAACATAAGAATTATAAAAAATATCTTTATTATATTTGCTGAAATTCTATTAGGATTTTACAATAAAAATATACAATATTTATAATTTTTTAGTACAAACAATAACATCAATACTTTTATCATAAAGTCACATCGGTACAGAAGTCACTATTGGTGTTGAGATTAAAAGTGAAAATAGCATATCATAAGTCTTATGTATGAAGAAAACATCTATGGTCGAAGAATGTCCAACATAATTGGTTCGACCTCATATAAAAGTTATTAAGTTCAACAATTTCATGATAAGATTTTTATTCTATGAGATGTTGTATTGGAAGCAGTGAGATTAAGGATTTGTCAGAATCTGTGTAATCATCAGAGGATGGTAAAATAGTGTCTAAGATTTTGTATAAAATATCAAGCCACCTATTGTTTCTCTGAAAACCAAAAAATGCAAAAGCGTGCCCGCAGTTACAATTAGGTTTCAAAATTGCATACGACTCAAACATACCAGTCATTGCAAAAGACATCCGGTGGCTATTTGAGTGTGCAGTGGATATCCTATTAGTAACATATCGTTCGTAGTGTACTTCAATGAATTTAAGATGGTATTCAAACAATTGTATTGTAAACATACATTGTTAATACGATCATTCGTATAAACAATGTATGTTCGTAATTGTAGTGAATCAAAAAAAAGAAGAAATTATTTAAATAGTTTAATACTTTAATAATTTATTGTGTTAATTATGATATAATAATTAGGAGGGGTTATTAATTTAGGGAGCTACTTTGACAGTTGCTCAAAAGAAATAAGTTAAATAGAATATGACGGGATTTTGATTCTTATTTGATCCACTACTTTATTGTATTAATAATATCATTACTCGGGATATGAGTACGAGGGTCTGTAAGAAAGATAGAAGATGATAGAAAAATAAAGTGATCTTTATTTTATTAATATGGGATTTATCATAATTAATTGTCAATTCTTAAATATCAATAATGCCACGAGTTTTGACGGTTATCGATGATAGGTGGGATTGAGTCACCTCGTGTGTCTACCCAGAGTGGTATGGTGGCTATACATATGAACCTCCAACCTAACTCCTGAAATAGACACGTATCAACGATATAACTCTGCCAAGTAACTCTGTACAAACATTATCGATTTATTAAATTTACTTGGTATATTTATTATTATTGATAATCACTTGATTTTCCTGTATGCCTACTTAATCTATGTACTCATAATATTTAATTTTAAACCTTATTTATTTTTGGTGAATTTATTAGATTCCTACCTCGATATTTTCTGCTATACTCTTAAATAAATAGATTTTGTATTTTGTGAACAAATATAACTGTGTTGACGGCGGATCACTTCTTGCATATGTTTCGTAGTGTGGAATGGTCGAGCGTAGTGAGTGCCTCTGTAAGTATCTGATTGCATCTGTCTTAGAATGCTCTTTATTTTTGGCTTTTTATATTAAATTTGACCGTAGTTCAAAGGCAAGAAGTAATCCCCGACGTCACCGTTATTTCTTTATTAATTGTAATTTATTACATGTTATTTATTACATTTTCATCAATAATGATCTACATATTATAAAATACAATCATATCTCATATAATAATTTAGACATAGTTTATTACCCTTCATCTTATGTGCTACCATTACATATTGTTTATTATTTCCTGTTTGTTTTATATAATTAATATATACTCTTTTTCTACGAAATTTCATTAATATTTTTAAACATTTAAAAGGTACATATATATATCTTATTTTTATTGGTATACATTTTATTTTGTGTAATTGATTGATTGAAGTCTTAAATAATACATTATGACATTAATGATCTATTGTGTATACAAATAATTTATTATAATATTAATGATGTACTATGTATATCATTACATATTACTTCGGTTAAAATATGTCACCAGTATAGTCCGGACCAAATTCCCATTCGTCTAATGTGTTCAATATTAAGCGGTCGTCAGTAATAATTTCAGGTTGACCATTGGATTCATGGTACGGATTAAGTGTCATGGCCGACCAGTCAAAATTTAAGTTACGATGATTTTTAAACGAAAATATAATTTTTTTTTTCAAATGGTTACATAAAATATTACGAAATACCTAAACAGTGTAATATTTTATTAAAAACCTTATTTTTACACTAATGGGTTTTAAGTCAATATTTTACATAATTTAATTATTACGAAGATTTTATGTTAAAAAGAAAGTGCAAAAATAAGGTAATTGAACTTTTAAGAATTCATTAGGAGCTCCATTTAAAATGCATTATTACAATAAGAATCACTATAAATTATAATTCTTATAAAATGTTCCCATTTTATAATCAATCAGATTTTATTTTAATATAATGTTCACAATGTTATTTTTATAAATAGAAAATATATTTACTATTTATTTCTGGAAGAAATACCACTTTTCCATAATAATCTTTTTTATATACTATCCTCAATAAGACATTTCTAATGGTAAAAATTATTATTTTTACCGCTTTAAACTATAAGTAACATTCTTCTGTATACTTGCATGTCAAAATAATAGATATTTAACAAGAATAACAGTTATGTTTAAAGGTAAATTTACAATGTTAAAAAAATCTAATTCTTCAAAAAAATTACACATTTATTGACAATATATATGTATATATTATAAGTTGCTATTTATTAAAGTATAAAGACAATTTTCCTCCAAATTAAATTATACAAATAACAATTTTATAAAAGATTTAATAAATGTGACTTAATCAATTTTTACATATGAACACATAGAAAATAATTTCTATTTCTTATTATATCTTAAGGAAATATACAAATATAATACAAAATCTTTAAGAAATTAAATAAATTAAAGAGATAATAAATACAGTTCTTGTGGCATTGCAATAGTTAAATTAGTTGTTTAAAAGACACAAATAAAAATAAAATAAACTTTAAAAAGTAATTTTTTAAGTCATACATAAAAAAGAAAACTTAAATCATCCGAGATTTTACAATATAATTAGGTTTATTATGTTTTGCTTACAGTTTTAAAATGAAATATAATGAAACTATATCAAAAGATTAGACATTATGTAAACTATATTAATTTGTGCTCGTTCAGTCTTAAAATTATCAAATTTATTATTAATTATAATATATTGTAAAATTCAAAAATACCAGTTGACTAGATGTACAAAAATTAATATTTTTAATCCTAATAGTTTAACAAATATAAAAATTCAAATAAAATTTTTCATATATAAGACATTTCTATAACTTTTTAAATCAATATTAATTCAATAGTAATATCAATATCAGAAATGGAATATATGTATAAAATTTTTTATAATGCCAAATATTTCAATTATTGAAACAATTAAGTTAATATAAATTTAAATATCTAATAGTAGTTATAAAAAAAAAAAACAAAATTGTGTTGCTATATTAACTTAATTAAAGTTTTAGACTAGGGGTCATATTTCTATAAGATTTAATAATCAATGGAAAAAAAAATTCATTATAGAGTATAAGATCTTGCATACACTTATTTGATTAAATATATTGATTATAAACATTGTTTTAATGGATATAAATATTATTAATTAACAATATGATTACAATTACGAATGATTTAACAATCATTTTAATAGTTATCTAGTATATAATAAGGAAAAATCATTTTAAGAAAGAATTTGGAAGGAAAATGTGTGTAATTTATGTTATATTTTCCTACCCTGTGATATAAAAATATATGTAAAAATTATCACTGGAATAAATGATTTTTTATTACAAAACACTTTATGATTTTATTTATTTTTAAGTACTAAAACGAGAATATGAAATTTTTAACAGTCTTCTAAATCAATAGGCGCATCAAGAGCTGTGTGTAAAGTGACAGCAACGCCTCTGTTTACGCTAACTGCAGGATAAAATACACCATAAAGTTCACAAAATGCTACTGATCCCTAAAATTAATTAAAAATTATTAATAGAACTACTGACTTTGAAATATAATTGTATAATTTACTTGTGGTTCATCATTCACATAGAATGAAAGCTGATGTTTATTCAAATCTAATAAAATTCCAATGGTTGAACCAACTTGAATCCCTCCATCACAACGTTGATCATGACTATTACAATGCATGAACCATGATCTTTGTTTATCTATATACATACTCCAACCAAATTCGTCTTTACCTATTCAATAATAAAATGTTTTATAGTTTAATAATATGAACTTATCAAATATAATAACAACTGTAAATTATTAAAACTTGCCAAGCATTTCTTCTTTAGAAACATCCAATCTAGCCACACCAAAACTAGGATCAGTATCAGCATCAAAACGATCAATTGTAAATTCCCAATAATGAACTCCTCTAGAAAAACCAACACTACCAAGAGCAACACGATGTTCAAAACCCTCACAAGTCACTGTACAATTATCAGGAGTGAAACATAATTCAGGAGAACTCAAGCATGGATCAAAATTAAACCAAGCCACTAATTAAAAGTATAATAAATTTAAAAGTTGTTATACGGTTATTTTAATAGCAACAAATTTACCTTCAGAAGTTTGTAATCCTATAATTTCACTGTATTCACCCTCACCAGCACTATTGAATGCTTTGACACGAGCATTGTAAGTACAGTTAAAATGTAAACCATCAACTGTACAAATTGTTTCTCCACCACAGTAAACTTCCTATAAAAAATACTAATATACTTAATTTCTAATAAATATTTAAAAAATTATTTAAATATTCTTAATTAAAAATGAGAAATTAGATAGTTAAATATGATATTGAAATATAGTAAATTAAACATACTCTGAAATCTCCATTATTTCCATCATCCAATTCTAAAATATAGCCTTCAACAAATGATGAAGCTGGAGGTTGCCAGGCAATTGTGACACTATTGTTTTCAGCACTACATTCTTCAGTGATGACAACTGGAGCATTAGGAGCTAGAATAAAATGAAAATAATAAGAAAGAATACACAAAAATTAAATCAAAATCAAAATTAAAATAGAAAAATAAACATTTAAAATTAATACCTGATCTTTTTATGTCTCCTCCACCATTCCCAAAAGCTTTATTTAGTTAGAAAGCATAACAAATAAATGTAAGTATTTTGTTAATTAGAGTAATATTTTGTTGAATATTACATGACTTGACAATTAAAATTATACTTAGTAGCAATTTATTTTTATATTATTTATAATTTGGACTAGGGAATAAGTCTTTCAAAACCATACTATAATATTAAATATACATACTTTTCATTTGAATAAAGTTTAAACTTTCAATAGCTTTTAAGACCGCATTATCATCAAGGGTCAAATCTAGCTGATGATATGATCGGGGGGATGGTAATACATCTTTGTGCCAAGTCATGTCAGTATTTGAAACTCTACCAATCAGCATTGAACCAACCTATAGAAAAAATTATAACATGATCAAAATATTACAATTTTCTTAGTTATTTATTTTCAATTGTAATAATTAACCTGTAAAAATGAAACCGGATCATTTTCTTTAAGAGCTTCAATACAAAATTGCAAAAGGGATGTGGTTTTCTGCAATTTTCCAGTACAACGGGCCACATGTTCCTTTAATGACATTTGTTTAATTTCTTTATCTTGCCTAACTGTATCAATTAGCCACTGTCTTCGTCTTTCAATAGATCTTATTAAGGCATCACAACGAGCATCTACTTGTCTTTCAAGAATTTCACATTCGCCCTAAAAATTATTTACAAAACTTTTGAAATTAAAATATAAATAAACTAATAAAGATCTTTTTTTTTCTTTCACTTTTTAAGTGGATACTGATAGCAAGATTTTTATGTTTTTAACATGTCTAAAACACCAAACATTTTTAAATTAACATTGGTAATTTCAAACGTTTTAAACAGGTTCATTTTTAAATATGTTTTTTAACAATTCTGATTAACAAAAAATAACAAAATAATTACAGTTACAAAATGGAGTGGTAATAAATTTATTTTTTATTTAAAGATACACCAAAATATAAGAACATATACATAGGTATTTAAATTATTTTTATAGGATATATGTTAATTTAAAATATCAAACCTGGATATATGTAATTTATCCTTGTATACCTCTCAAAACATTAGTGAGAAAAACTATAATAATTAACTTTACAAATTCAAAACTCACATTTAGTTTATCTGACATCTGTTTTAATCTTTGAATGAATTCGGTGGATGTACGAGCTTTTTCAGAAAGTTGTTGAAGGTTTTGAGATAATTCCGTCTGAAATTCAATAAATAACAAATATTAATTATTTCTATGTAAAAACAATATGGTTAAATACTTAAAATAAATAATTAACATATTATAAGTATGTGATAATACCCTTATACATCCAACGATCATTATTTCCTCATAATAATATTCAAAATTAACCCAACTCATTAGTGTTTTGAAAATAATACTTTAGTTAATTTATAATTATATAATAGAGGAAATATTTAAATAATTGTGATACTAGACTTTTGACATTATTATAAAAATTAATACACGACCGTAAACATTTACAATGTAAATTGATTCTTTTAACAAAAATCTAACTGAAATGTACTGCTTTGATCAATTATGTGTAATATGATAAAACCATTAGAAAATATTAACAAAAAAATATTTTTAAGACAAAAATTATTTATGAATAAGTTACGCCTAACATTTATTAAAAATATATGCAATGTACTCTTTAAGAAATGTAGTTCATAGGATAACTGTAAAAAATTTTTATTTTTTTTAACTATTTAAAACTTTTTTATGACATTATTTGTCTCGATATACGAAATGTGTCACCTTCGTTTTTAACAAACATTAAACTTTGAACTTTGGCAAGCAATTAGATGTTATTACTGTAGTTATTATTGCTACGAATAAAATGTTAAATGTATGCAGATGTCGTGTCTTTATTTCCACTACCACTGGACATTTTGACAATCGTCCAGATAGTAGCCTACATTTTTGTAGTAAAAATATCTTTTAGGTTATTTATGATTCTTCCTTGTGAATAGTAAATGGAAATTTAGTCAGGTCATAACATTATTTTGCTATTTCTGCCATTTATATAATGGTATAAATTATGATTTCTTAATTGCCACCATTTTTGTAGTCAAGTAAATATGTCATTAATGTAACATTTTGTGCTTACAGAATGTATTCTTAATACAGCTGTCGCTAGAATTATGATAAATCAATGTAGTTTATATAGGTTGAATAATATAAAATTTTAGGCAAAAAGTTGTAACTGAAACGCCAAGATAAAATTTTCATTAAGTAAAAAATTTAAACTTCCATAGTTATTTGGCAAATAACCCACTATTAGTGTAGTTTGAAAAGACTACAGATCTCAAAGAAACATTCGTAGCGCCCCTCAAATGAATGGAATTTTTTAAGGGGGTATGGAGTTAATAAAGTAATTTGGCTTCCAGTCAGGTTTTTAATCCAAATTTGTGAAATAGAATGTGGTTCCATAGCCTCCCAGATAATTTTTTCAAGCTACGCCCATGCGTAGCTTTTTTATGTGCCCATACGCACATAAAAAAAGTCATTAAATACAAATAATTTAGCATAATAATAAAAATGAATTATTTAATTAGCATACATTTTTGCGTAGAACAAATTTTTTAAAGGAAACGATTTAAAAACGCTAAATTTCAAAAAATTTGAAAGCAGATATTTTAAAACAATACGTAGAAGTTACAAGTCAGGTGGTATCAATTCTTACAAATGAACACTAAAATATAAATTAACAATTTTTTATTTTAAAACAATCGCATAATTATTAGGTCATATTTGCAATCCTTTACAACGGAGGGAATTAAAAGCACTTATGGCTTCCCAATTATATTAAGGAAGTATTTTAACCCAAAATTTTGGTATAAATTACTAAATTTAATTTAAATAATTTATCTGATCTTAATAACAGTAGTTATATTTATTTGAATTTTCTCAATAGTAATCCGAAAATAATAATATCAAATTTTACTGTTCTACCAACACATAAAAATGTTCCTAGTGCATTTCTTTAAAAATGTCCAATGAAGTAATACTGTTACTTAAGAATAAAAAAGGTTATTCGTAAATTTCTTTTATCAATTTAAAACTACGATAGCATAATTTAATAATATTACTAATTGCTGTGAAATAGATAATATTACAACCTGCACTATATCATTAATAATAGACTTCATAAGCAATTCATTATTTTTCATATAAGTGTCAGGGATAGACATGTAAAACAATATCTTTTTTTTCAATAAATTATTATAACTTTATGCTATATGGTTAATATATATATTATGAATGAACTATTTAGACCAAAAAACTAACACTTAAAGATATGAAAAACAGAGCATGCCGTTAAGATAAAAAAATCATAACTATTTTATCATTATAAAATAATTAAAATTTGTTAGAAGTAGTGATATTTTCGAATATTTTAAACTATCGAATAGTAATCGATAGTTTTTTAAAACTATCGAATAACTATACGAATTGTTTTTATGTAACTCAATAGTTTTTTTAGCATAAGCTGTCAAATAATTATAAAACTATGGAATAGTTTTTAAAACTATTCGAATATATTGTCCAACTATAGAATAGTTTTTGAATGGCTATCAAATAGTTCGATAATTACTATTAGATATTTCTCATCACTAGTTAGAAGTCACAAAAACTATAAATATTAAATAATGTTTATAAACAGTGAAAATATGTCACGCGACAAACCTTGTTCCTTTAATGGAGTTGTAATGTCATTTATCTAGAATTAATCATTTTTTAAGTCTTGTTCATTTATAATAAAACTTACTTGAATATATAATATCAATCAAACAAATAAAATGCAATCCAAATTGTGTGTCGTCTGCTTAAGAGTCATTCTAATATTCACATTCGTTGAGCACGGAATGAAATAGGCGTTTTGAGTGGTACAACTGCTATATTATTACTATTCAAATAAGCCTACCATATTTAAGACACTAATAGTATATTTCAATCATGATATGAAGATTTCTAATTTAATAATTAAGGGCATAATTGATATTAAAGTGGTTCATCATTATATACAAGAAGAAGCTTAAGAATATAAAAACTTAATAAAATAATTTTTAAACTTCAAAAAAATTCGCTTAAAATTCACCCTTGTTGCATCAATGTTTATCCGAATTATAAGATATTACGTACGAAAAACACGCAACACAGGGAAAAGCGATTAGGCCAAAGTTAATAACAGTAGGAGTTTGTGCGATAACAGCATTGATTAAAAATAAAATAAAAACAAGTAAGAAACTAAGAATCTAACAAGGACAACTTAAAACTGTTAACAATGCAAAATTGATGACTATTTTTACGTTTATCTTCTAGGCAGTAAATATTATACACTACAAACACCACGAATTTCAATAAAATAAAAAAACATCAGCTGTAAACAACTTAACCATTAAAAATGAGTAAGACATTTAAGTTTAATAGCGTATATTTACTAGCAATATTATATGTAATTGGCAATAAAATTATTTCGAAAAACATAAATAGCTAACATATTTTTTACTCAAAAATAAATTTAAAAAAATAATAATTAACTTTCAAGATGTTTAAATAATAGCTAAACCCATTACCTTAAAAATTAAATTCTATAAAAAGAATTAAAATAAGAAAATATTTTCTTTTTAATCGATTTAAAAAAATAATCGATGACATACTTTAATGTTTATCTTAAAAAGATAAGATATCATGTTACCTTCAAAAATATTCGTTATAAATTTTAAGTCAAAATTAATAAAAGTAAACATCGGAAAACTAACATCATCAACATGCTTTCAACAGATTTGTCATCTCTTAAAAAACTTTTCACTTACCACATTTTATTAAATTGTCAATCAATTTAATTATATACAATAATTAATGTTAACATTTTTATTTATTTTTCATAAAAAAATTTAAATTTAACATTAAAACAAAAATAATCTACTACTTTTAAATAAAACTAGCAATACAAACATGGAAAATACATTTTCAAAATTAAGAGAGTTTATTTCTTTGTGAATTTGTCAATTAATATATTCATTATAAAGTTTAAATACCATATATGTTACTAAACATTAAAATATATTTTAAGTAATAAAAATCAACATTGTTTTTAATGAAATCGTTAACACATTTGTAAAAATAAGTAGTAGTACTTCACAAATTTAAAAGCGTGCTGTAACGAATAGTTTATAATTTATAGTTTATTGAACATTTTGAATCGTGATATACAGTCTATACTTCAATATAAATTAGGGGTACCCATAAAAAAATTTTTTAATAAACGCAAAAATTATTTATAACAGTTTAAACTATCCAGGAAATTCCGCACACACCATAAGCTAGAGAGGCGCGATATCCCTCAGAAATTAATGATATTCAATAAAATTTATTCAGACTTAGTTTTTTTATTAAAAATAGTACTATAGAAGGAATATGAACAAAAAAAAAATTATATATGTGTTGTAAATTTCTAATTAAGTTAAAAAAAAATTGACTAACCTAAGTCGCCTACTACACTACTTAATTACAGCATAATATGAATCTATATACCTATTATATAACATTTTTTTTACTAGAACATAATAACTAAATACCAACTATTTTGTAAAAGCCTAGAAATAAACAGACAGAAAATTTCATTTCCCTCATCCATGAATTGAACACACAAAGCCGACCGGTCTCCTTTTAAATAACCCTTTTGGTTTTTAGAATTTTATTAATACAGGTGTTGTATAATCTATTTTACATTGACAATAACTCAAATTCAAATTAAAAGATTTGGAAGCTTGGATTGTATGTTTTGTATTAGTTTTTTATAAGTGACACAAAAAATCCCAAGGTTTGCAATGGTACCGCTTTTCGCCCACTTCTCCGGGCGTACTGGTATATATAACAAATACAAAAATATTCAATTACAAATCAGCAGACATTTATTTTGTTTGACGACATCTAAACACATCATATGCTGCATTTTTATTAGCATTTTCAATTGAAAGGAGTGTTGTAAAATGATAAATAAAAACATTGAACACATATGTAAGATATTTTGGCGACGAAAAGCATGAATTATAGTCTCTTAAGATACTATTTTATTTTCCGTTTCCTTTCTAACCAAGTTTAAATAAATCGATGTGAGTTTTATTGCTTTTTTTTTCTAACAAGTCATTTGGCAATCAGAAAACCTCTTAAGAAATACAGCGCAAACA